GTTGGCCAAATTTAAAAAAAAAAAAATTTTTTTTTCTTGTGAAAAGATAGAGAATCTTTTCCTGATCATAATGACACCAACAGTATGAAATTTGATATAAAACTTACGGAATCATGCTCTCGCAATGTTAGCGGTCTTGACGATGTTTACGCATCGGCGATTTTGCCCACTTTGAGCTCTACTTTTGGCCAATTCCAATGTACTAGTCGACAAAAATCGTAACTATTTCGCTAGAACTCTATTTTTTTGTATCGAATGAGTACAAGAAACCACCGATTTACTGATTTCAACTATCCAGTAAAGTGGTCAGAATTTAGCAATTTTGCCAATTTCACACAAATTTCAAAAGATGCCAATTTCCGAATAGGGTCCAGAATAAACAAGAAAGATATTCCTGTCACTAAAATAACAAGTTCTCTGTTCGTTAGCCACATCCCCAGGCCCCTCTTATATTTCTTTGGCTTTACACATTCAATTTTTATTCTTACAAAAAATAGAAGATTTACTGTTATGCAGACTACTGCATTAGTGTAGAAATGGTATAAATAATATCAGCGCACTTGTGAAAATATTAGATAAACCAGTTGACGTGTATTGGACGCTTAGCATGATTTGTTTGCTTTTGAACTTTGGTAAAAATCGAACATTTCTGCTACTTTGAGCTCAATTTCAAGGTACTTTTCATTGTAAAACCAGTCAAAATCATCTCAATTTCTGTAATATGTCTTCCATTCTATAAAATGAGACCAAGAAAACTAGAATACAACAATAAATACCATATGAAAATACAGAGCAAGGTCGCTGTTTTATTAAAAAAACACGGTCAAAGTTTTTTTTTCTCATTATGCACTGTGTGCTGCAGGATTTTTATTATACTGCGCATACTGACCACATAGACCCATTCTTTAATATGTAGGCCTATCAGCTTTCTCCCACTAGATTTGAGGGCGCTAGAATTTAGGCGTACTAGTATGTCAAAAACCATGGGTCGTAAGCCGTACTAGTATGGCCGAAACCCTCAAAGGGTTAATGAGAGAGCACAAGTGATTTGAAAAGTTTCACCATTGGCATTATTTTCCTTGGTTTGAAAGTTTTCATTATCCAGCCCATCATTTTCCTGGCTTTCGTGATATTTGCCGGTCAGCCGGGCTGTGGCTCGTACGTTGGTTTGCGTGCAGCCAGCAGCAACAGCCTGGTTGATCAGGCTCTGATCCACCAGGAGGCCTGGTCTCAGACCGGGCCGCGGGGGCGTTGACCCCCGGAACTCTCTCCAGGTAAACTCCTGGTAATATGAAAGGTCAGCTGGCATTATTACATCCTGATCTTTCACTTATTTCTTTTGTTATACTATTTAGTGATCATTGTTCTTCATTCTTTCCATATCTAGGTGCAGTACAGCAATTGGAACTTGTCACTATTGAATGTTGTATTGTTCTCTACTGCCCACTGGAAGACTTTGTTTACACCTTCCTGTAGTATTTTCATGTTTTCTACTGAGGTGATTTTTTTTTTTTTTAGCATCGGTGGTTTCCCAATGAGGCAGGGTGACCTAAAAAGAAAGAAAAATCCAAAAAGGAAGAAAAATACTTTAATCATCGTTGAACACTTTCACCATCATCATACATAATCACTGTCTTTGCAGAGGCACTCAGATACGACGGTTTAGAAGTCCCTCCAAACTGCCAATATCCCAAACCCCTCCTTTGAAGTGCAGACATTGTACTTCCCATTTCCAGGACTCAAGTCTGGCTAACCTGTTTCCCTGAATCCCTTCACAAAATGTTACCCTGCTCACACTCCAACAGCTCATCAGGTCCCAAAAACCATTCGTCTCCATTCACTCCTGTCTAACACACTCATGCATGCTTGCCGGAAGTTCAAGCCCCTCGCCCACAAAAACCACCTTACCCCCTCCCTCCAACCTTTTTGAGGACGACCCGTACCCTGCCTTCCTTCTCCTACAGATTTATACACTCTCTAAGTCATTATGATTGTTTTAATTGCAGCGCCCTCGAATATGTTGTGATTGGCAAATTTTGTGTAGCTCCTATTCTTGATTTATATTAGAACTGTCATTAAGTTTCTTATTGAAACTTTATTGTGTAGTCTGAATTATATTTTAATTGGTTTTTAGTAGTTCTTTGGTAATGTTATAAATAAAGAAGGGTAACGAAAGAAGGCACAATACCGTGACTGGAATGATACACAAATAACCCGCACATAGAAGAGAGGAGCTTACGACGACGTTTCGGTCCGACTTGGACCATTTACAAAGTGACTTTGTAAATGGTCCAAGCCGGACCGAAACGTAGTCGCAAGCTCCTCTCTTCTATGTGCGGGTTATTTGTGTAAAGAAGGGTAGTGATTCATGGTGTTGTCTATAGTTAAACCTGATTTAAGGAGGAAAATCATGTTTTCCCAAATTTAATCTGATGTAGAAACAGATGTATTGGTGATTCTTATTGGTTTAGTAATTGAAATTAAGACACACTATGCTTATTTATCTTCTTTTTCTTAAAATAAGTACAGTATTACCTAAATATTGCCAAATCTTTTCAAACATAATTCTGTTAACCATTGACTGTTTTGGTCATATATATACGTCTTACGAGCCACCGTGTTTGGTGTATATATACTCAAAAATTCTAGCTGCTTCAAGTCAAGCAGAAGAAAGCTGGTAGGCCCACATGTGAGAGAATGGGACTGTGTGGTCAGTGTGCACCATATAAAAAAAATCCTGCAGCATGCAGTGCATAATGAGAGAAAAAAAACTGTTTTTGGATTAACCCTTTGACTGTCGCAACCCCCAATCCTGAGGTGTCTCCTGGTGTTGCAAAATTTAAAAAAAAAAAAAAAATATTTTTTCTTATGAAATGATAGAGAATCTTTTCCCGATTGTAATGACACCAAAAAAACGAAATTTTATGGAAAACTGACGGAATTATGCTCTCACGAAGTTAGCGACCTCGGCGCTGTTTACAAATCGGCGATTTTGCCCACTTTGAGCCCTATTTTCGGCTAATTCCATTGTTCTAGTCGCCCAAACTCGTAGCTATTTCTTTAGAACTTGATTTTTTCTATCGATTGAGTACAAGAAACTGCCCATTTACTGATTTCAACTACCTAATAATGTGGTCAGAAATTTGCAATTTGGCCAATTTCACGAAAACTAAAAAATATGACAATTTCAAAATAAGGTCCAGAATGAACAATGCAGACATTCCTGGCTCTAAAATAACATTTTCTTTGTTCATCAGTCACGTCTCCAGGCCCCTCTGATATTACTCTTGCTTTCTATTTTGAATTTTTATTCAAACAAAAAATATTAGACTTACTATTATGCAGACTACTGCAATGCTGTAATAACTGTATAAATAACATCAACCCATTCATGACTGCATATTAGAATGGCTAGTTGGACATTTATTGGACAATGGCATCATTTGGTTACTTTTGAACATTGGCAAAAATCAAACATTTCCCCTACTTTGAGCTCCATTTCTAGGTTCTTTTTATAGTAAAATCAATCAAAAACATCTCTATTTCTGTAATATGTTTTCCAATCTATCAAATGAGACCAAGAAAACGAGAATACAACCATAAATACTATACGAAAATAGACCACAAAGTCGGCATTTTAATTAAAAAAAACGGTCGGAGTTTTTTTTTTCTCATTATGCACTGCGTGCTCCAGGATTTTTTTTATATGGTGCACACTGACCACACAGACCCATTCTCTCACATGTGGGCCTACCAGCTTTCTCCTGCTTGATTTGAAGCCGCTAGAATTTATGAGTATATATACGTCAAACACGGCACCTCGTAAAACGTATATATACGGCCGCGACAGTCAAAGGGTTAAAACATCGACTCTGTGGTGTATTTTCGTATAGTATTTATGGCTGTATTTTCATTTTCCTGATCTCATTTGACAGAATGGAAAACATGTTATAGAAATAGAGGTGATTATGATTGGTTTTACTAAGAAGAGAACCTTGAAATGGAGCTCAAAGTAAGGGAAATGTTTGATTTTTGCCGATGTTCAAAAGTAAACAAATGATGTCATTGTCCAATAAATGTCCAAGTACCCATTCTAATATGCAGCCATGAATGGGTTGACATTATTTATACAATTATTACAATATTGCAGTAGTCTGCATAACAGTAAATCTTCTATTTTTTGTTTGAATAAAAATTCAAAATAGAAAGCAAGAGTAATATCAGAGGTGCCTGGAGACGTGACTGATGAACAAAGAAAATGTTATTTTAGAGCCAGGAATGTCTGCATTGTTCATTCTGTACCCTATTTTGAAATTGGCATATTTTTTAATTTTCGTGAAATTGGCCAAATTGCCAATTTCTGACCACGTTATTGGGCAGTTGAAATTGATAAATGGGCAGTTTCTTGTACTCAATCGATAGAACAAATGGAGTTCTAAAGAAATAGCTATGAATTTGGTCGACTGGAACAATGGAATTAGCCGAAAATGGGGCTCAAAGTGGGCAAAATTGCCCATTTGTAAATATCACCGAGGTCGCTAACTTCACGAGAGCATAATTCCGTAAGTTTTCCATCAAATTTCATTCTTTTGGTGTCATTACAATCGGGAAAAGTTTCTCTATCATTTCATAAGAGAAAATAATTTTTTCTTTTCAAAAATTTTTCGACATCAGGAGACACCTCAGGATTTGGGGTTGCAACAGTCAAGGGGTTAAAGACTCCCAGTTTTCATTTGCCCTAGTAAATTACTACACTGCAGACTTCTATTACACCTTCTACAGTAAACTCCTTTGTTAGCATTAAGGTCCTCGCCTCAAATAGTCTCTAATATTTTCCAAAACTCCATAAATGTTTTCTTAAAATCTTTTTTTTTTTTTTTTAAATACTGTACTGTATGGTAAATTAATTACTGAAGGAATACCATGAGAGTAGGTATTTACAAATAGACTTGGTAATTAAATGCTCAGTGCATTCTATAATAAGGATAATTTTTCAGAAGAAAAAAATGGAAAACAGTGCACCAGATGGTTCGACTGGAGGACAGAACTCGACTCCCCACAACGGGTTCCGTGGTCGTGGTGGCTTCAGAGGTGGGCGAGGTGGAGGGTTCCGTGGAAGAGGTGCTCCAGGATACTCAGGGTATGTATGTAATTTCTTCATAAGTTTACATGAGTGTGGTATCATTTTATTCATCAAATGTTGTTGCAAGCATAACAAAATCAGAATGTATTGTGTATGTTAACTTACAAATTACAGTAAATTGTCACATAACATGGAATACTGGGGCATATTTCTGAAAAATTGCCCTACATAAAAAGCACTTCGTAAAATGACATTTATGTGGGAAAATAGGATTATATTCCTGACACCTCCAAAATTGCCAAGAAAATGTTTTTAAAATTTCCTGTCCTGGAGCCCGACCATGTAGTGAAACTTGAAACTCTTCAAATGTATGCTAAAAATAATAGATTTGATTTTCCCTACATTCAAATAGATACTATTGCTCATTGATATAGACGTACATTAATGGGTTGATGTATTCTTGCTGGTCTGAGTTGGATGTAACAAGGCTTATCAACTCTACAATGAGTACACATTTTTTTTTTTTTTCAACAAGTCGATCGTCTCCCACTGAGGCAGGGTGACCCAAAAAAGAAAGAAAATCCCCAAAAAGAAAATACTTTCATCATCATTCAACACTTTCACCACACTCACACATTATCACTGCTTTTGCAGAGGTGCCCAGAATACAACAGTTTAGAAGCATATACGTATAAAGATACACAACATATCCCTCCAAACTGCCAATATCCCAAACCACTCCTTTAAAGTGCAGGCATTGTACTTCCCATTTCCAGGACTCAAGTCCGACTATATGAAAATAACCGGTTTCCCTGAATCCCTTCACTAAATATTACCCTGTTCACACTCCAACAGATCGTCAGGTCCCAAGTATCATTCGTCTCCATTCACTCCTATCTAACACGCTCATGCACGCTTGCTGGAAGTCCAAGCCCCTCGCCCACAAAACCTCCTTTACCCCCTCTTTCCAACCCTTTCGAGTACACATGTAAACACCATAAAAATAAAAGGATTGTAATAAAATTGCTTGGTAGGGGTAATTATTGCTTTTTAAGGGCTGTGGCAGCTAAAGTTGTGTAATGTGCACTCCCAGTGGTGTGGTAGGTTGTTTCTCTGAGATGTGGACAAGTATACACTGTTAACCCTTAAACGGTCTAAACGTACATATACGTTCTCTCGCGTAGCGCTCCAAACGTATATATACGTTTCCTTTGTCATTCATTCAACATTTGCACGATAAGCCTGAGTCGCCTATACATGAGAGAATGGGTGTGCGCACTCACTGTGTGCCATATGAAAAAATTGGGGACTCCTGGGTACCATATGCTCTTTTTTCCGGTTTAAAAAAAAAAAAAATTTCTCTCAAAATTGGGGGTGATACGCGAGAGAACGTATATATACGTTTGGACCATTTACGGGTTAATCAGTATGGCATAGGCTGCGGTGGCCTTATAAATCAAGAACACTATAATGTGTTTGATGTAACTGCTCCTCCATAGAGTCCACAGCATTGATGTAACTGCTCCTCAATAGAGTCCACAGCACAACTTTGTTTAATAAATTTTTCATATTATGAATTTCCAATATGTTCAACAACTTAGAAATACAGCTAGACTAAGTAGATGACTTTTAAAGTCACGGGAATGTGCATATACAATGTACAGTAATTATTGTGATGTTGGATTCTGGGTTACTAATCTTCTAGGTTACACAATAATTAAAGTCCTCTCCTAAATTTTATAAGCATTCATAAGCTGCATATATAGAATTTGGAAAACTTGCTAGGTTAGAAAAATATGTAGTGTTTTCCTGGTGCTCAGTAGAAGGCTCTGGGGAGCACCAATTATGGCCCAGTGAGCAGATTTTGAAACTCTTTGGAGATTACTACCCAAATATTACATGTTACTGTCTTTTAGAAAAAATGGAGAGTAATATCAAGGGTTTCCAAACGTATGAAAGGAATACATATACAGTGGAACCTCTACTAGCGAGTGCATCCACTTGCGAGTTTTTCCAAATACGAGCAGTCGATGGTTCGACTTTTTGCTTCCATACGCGAGCAAAATTTCCATAAGCAAGCAGACCTCAAGGCAGGCTCCTTGACGCTGGTGAGGGGCTCTTGCTTTTGATCTAGGGAATTGTATCTTATTTGTTTGTTGGACTATCTTATTGAAACTTTGGCAATGTATGATGGAAAGGTGCTTATTAACTTAAACCAAAAATGAAAGAAATCGGAGCATGAATAATGGAGTTCACTTCTCAGCAATTAGCCACCCCTTGGCGGTATTTTTGTGTGGTTTTTATGGTTGTATTCTCGTTATTTTGGTCTCATTTGATAGAATGGAAGATATATTACAGAAATAGATATGATTTTGATTGCTTTCATGATGAAAAGTACTTTGAAATTGAGCTCAACTTAGAGAAATGTTCTATTGCTTGGCTGTGTTCAAAAGTAAACAAATGGCCATTGCAATATGCGGTAGTGAATGGGTTGACATTATTTATACAATTATTGCAATAATACATAACAGTAAATCTTATATTTTTTATGGGAACAAAAATTACAAATTATTTACATTGTAATAATATAATAATAATAATAATAATATGTATAATAATAATACTTTTTTTTTTTTCAACAAGTTGACCATCTCCCACCGAGGCAGGGTGACCCAAAAAGATAATAATATGTATAATAATAATAGTATAATAATATAATACAACAATAATATGTATAATAATACATAATACATGTATAATAATAATGTACTACATAATAATAATTATAATAATAGACGGCTTCAAAAGGCCATCACTAGATGGCAAGTGTTTACCACAACAAAGAGGGAGCAGTTGTGGCCACCTCCACCTGTTACATAATGACATATTTTATTCATTCTAGAGTATATATCAGGTTTCTATGTTATTTATTTTGTTTATTATTTCATATTAGGTGAACTGCGATAGATAAATAAGCCGTAGAGTCGATAGCGAAATATTCAAGGGATATTTTGTCCTGTCTCCAGACAAACTCTCGTTGGCCGCCGCTGCCACCACATACGTATATAATGATGTATTTTATTCATTCTGGAGTATATATCAGGTTTCTATGTTATTTATATTGTTTGTTAAGTCATATTAGATGAACTGTGATTGATAAATAAGCCGTGTAGATGATATTAGTGAAATTATTCATGAAGTATTTTGTCCGGTCTCCAGACAGACTCGTCCACCTCCAACACTACCCATACCACTACATGAATTACATATTTTATTCATTTTAGAGTATAGATCAGGTTTCTGTGTTATTTATATTGTCTGTTATGTCATATTAGATGAAGTGAGATAGATAAATAAGCCGTAGAGTTGATATTAGCGAAATTATTGAAGTACAGAATTCCACTGGAACGGATTAATTCCATTTCAATTAATTTAAATTAGGAAAATTGACTCTGCAAACGAGCAAATCCAGTTGCGAGCAAGGTCATGGAATGGATTAAACTCGCAAGTAGAGGTTCCACTGTATAGTGGTCTCTCATGTTAGTGTTATTCCGTTCCAGAAGACGTGTCGTACCTCAAATCTGTCGTAACTCAAACCCCAAAATGTGTGATTTTATGGTAATTTATTCCAAGACCCAGGTAGTGCAACTTTTACTATACACTTAACTTCCATGTTCACAAATATAACTCCCATCTCCCTGTAACTGCTTCTCTCCTATCTCAATAGCAACTGTCTTTCCATCTATATAATTCTCTACCTTTTTTCATTAGCTTAGATTTGTTAGTCACAATATTTTTTTTAAACACAGCCATCTCCCACCGAGGTAGGGTGACCCGAGAAAGAAGAAACACTTAAATCATCATTCACTCCATCCCTGTCTTTCCAGAGGAACTCTGATACTAAAGTTCAGATGCCTGTCCAAACTGAAATATCTCCACCCCTCCTTTAGAGTACAGGTACTGTACTTGCCACCTCCAGGACTTTAAGTGCAGCAAACCAGTTTCTCTGAATCTGTAAATATTACCGTGCTCACACTCCAACAAAATGTCAAATCATAAAACCACTTAGCATCTCCACTCTTATCCAAGCCCCTTGCATACAGAACCTCGTTTACCCCCCTCCCCTCTAAATTTTTCTGGGGAGACCCTTACCTTGCCTTTCCTCTACAACAAATTTTTACACCCTCCAAGTTGTCCTATTTTTCTCTAAATATCAAAACCACCTCAACAACAATAATACTCTCTCTACTTGATAATTGTAGAGATGGTTAAGGGGGGGGGGGGTGGACGTATCAGGAAAGATAAAAAAAAAAAACGAAAATTGAAAAATTCTGTAAAAAAAAAATGTTCTTACCAAAAAATGGTGCAGAATTCTGGTAACATGTTGATGTAATCAGCTTGTTTCTATCGTATTTCTAAGTATGTTTTCCAAAAAATGTAATATTTTTGTTATTGCTCTTGTCAAAAGGACATGATGGCAAATTTTTTTTTACTCCAAAAGTTACGATTTTTATGATTGTTTCATTCTAAATACACTACATTGCAACTTCTCTGAGGACTCCATTCGAAAACTCTATTTTCATTAAGAACTGTAAGAAACCCCTCTCGCGTCCCCTAAGTATACTATGGAGAAGGAGCTTGGACATGGGTGAAATTCCACAGTCACTTAAAGCAACAGATATAGCCCCACTCCATAAAGGTGGCAGCAAAGCATTAGCTAATAACTACAGACCAATAGCACTAATGTCCCACATCGTAAAAATCTTCGAAAGAGTGCTAAGAAGCAGGATTGCAAATCACCTGGATTCCCAAAAACTGCACAACATGGGTTCAGGGCAGGTCGCTCCTGCCTCTCACAACTACTGGATCACTATGATATGGTCTTGGATGCACTGGAAGAAAATCAGAATGCAGATGTAATATACACAGACTTTGCAAAAGCGTTTGACAAGTGCAGTCGTGGTGTAATAGCGCACATAATACGTGCTAAAGGAATAACTGGCAGAGTGGGGAGACGGATCTTCAAATTCCTAACCAATCGAAAACAAATAATGGTC